AGATGGCTTTAACTCATTGTTTTCTTTTGCATTTATCTATTACCTGTGCTTACTGGCTCCTTTGTAGACACCTTACACTATTATGTAGAGAAAGCAAAGGCTTATAATGTTTACACATGGTTTAGGACTAGCCTCTCACCTCACTTTCTGCCTTACAGTAATTGGTTGATATATAATAATATTAATAGATTGGGTCCACAATGCCATTCCCATGCCTGACCTGTGCTTGCTTTTTGTAGCCATGGTCCCTTCACCATGGCCTCATAGACCGAGGTACAGAGGTACGAGACAGGAGCCAAGGTTCAGGCAGATTTGGGCTATCAGCAGCAACAAAGGAGTTTGCTGTTGACTTAGCTACAGCCTGTAAGTTTTTTTATACATGTAGGAAGGCCGGTCATCAGGTAGGACTGTGAGAAACCAGATGATCCCTCCCTACATCACCATTCCTCCTCTCAGCCATCCCTGGGACTCACAACATGATTGCCCTCAGGGGTCAACATCACTTATGGAGTGTGTGCATCCACTGTGCCCTGCCCCCTAAAATGGTAAGAACCACTGGTTTAGATGGAGATCTTTGGGAGATGGGGTTCAGCATGCAGGATGCACAACTGGTTCCAAAGACTTTGATCTGGGGACATGTCCAGAGGCATAACACAAATGGCAGCTTTCTTAGCAGTCTTATAAAAGACACTAGCAGTCTTATAGCATTTTAAAAAACATTACTATTAATGTTAAGTTACGCTTCCCTTGATATTCCTGCCATGAGAATATTCAGACACCTTGCCATTTGGTTGTTTGACATTTAATGTATGCCATGAGCTACTTTTAATAAAGCTTTCTTCTCCTTTGCCCTTTACTCAGCCTCAACACTGTGTATCTTCCCAAATTCCTCACTCCACTCAAGACTTTTAAATAGGTCCCCAAAGGGAACTATATTGTCTGAGTTACTAATACAGTCCCTGTTTATAGCCACTATGGCTACATATGCAGCTAGACAATAGCTAGGCAGTGGGTCCAAAAAACATGTATAAAATGATGTCAGTGAGCAAGATTCGGGGGGGGGGATGGAACTGGGAGATTCTTTGATTCACTTGACCACATGAAAGATCATTATAAGAGGCTGTGAGTGAAAGACAGCCCCCAAATTAAACAAATGGGGGATGCCTGGGCGGCTCAGTGGCTGAATGTCTGCCTTTGGCCCAGGGCATGTGATCCTAGAGTCCTGGGATTGAGTCCCACATCAGGCTCCTTGCATGGAGCCTGCTGCTTCTCCCTCTGCCTGTGTCTCTGCCTCTCTCTCTCTCTCTCATGAATAAATAAATAAAATCTTAAAAAAAATTAAGCAAATGGAAAAAGGAATGAACTATTAACTTCAGGAAAGATAAAAAGCTTTATAAGAAACAAAGTGTAACATTATCACACAACTTGGCTCAGCAGGAAACAATGTTTTCATGGACATAATGTAAATTCTTAGTACAAATTTCACCAAAAAAAGTGATAACATATTGAGAGAGTATAGGGAAGGGAAGTGTGTGGTAAGGGAGTTAGGTGTAAGGGCTAAGTCCTTATCAGACATACAGGAAATTAATAAATGATGTCTAACATTGAGAAATCAGGAAATAATAGTATAACCATATTTTGAAGAAATATAAATATTAATACTGGAAGAAACAGCTAAATGTCAAAAATGGTGGCTTCTGACAAGGAAAACTGAAGGGTAGAGGAGGTGAAGATGAACTTTTGTTGTTCATTATAAGCCTGTAATATTTGGCTCACTGTTAACTATCTGCACATAGTACTTTTATCAAAACAAATTTTAATTTAAAAAAATATACATGAAAATTTGAAAGGCTATGAAGAGAGGGTTCACAGAAAAAGAACTATAGGTGATCCTTAAGCATACAGAAAGTTTTTTTAAAAAGATTTGTTATTTACTCAAGAGACACAGAGAGAGAGAGGCAGAGACATAGGCAGAGAGAGAAGCAGGCTACGTGCAAGGAGCCCAATGTGGGACTTGATCCTGGCACCCCAGGATCACGCCCTGAGCTGAAGGCAGATGCTCAACCACGGAGCCACCAAGGCATCCCAAGAAAGATGTTTAAGCTTATTAAAAATAAGAGAAATACAGAGTGCCTGGGTGGCCCAGTTCGTTAAGTGTCTGACTCTTGGTTTAGGCTCAGGTCATGATCTCAGGGTCATGGGATTGAGTCCCAGGCTTAAGCAGACTACCTGCACTAAGCTTGAGATTCTCTCTTCCTCTCCCTTGGCCCTTCCCCGCTCAAATAAATAAATCCTTTTAAAAAAAAATTAAGGGAAATGCAAATTAAAACAAAACTGAGATACTGTTTCTCATCTGTCTGGGAAAAATCCAAAACTTGGAAGCCATCTTCTTTTGGCAAGCCTATAAGGAGTGTAAAAGGATCGAACCCCTATCAAGGAGATTCTGGCATATCCACTTAAACTGCAGGTGCATTTCTCCTTGACTCAGCAAACCTTCTTCAAGAAATGCACCCCCAGGTACTCCTGCATGCATATAAAATGACATGTAGAAGGTTATTCATTATGACATCGGTGTACAGTAAAAGATAACAATCCAAATGTCGGTCAACAGAGGACTGGTTAAATACACTATGGTTCAATCATTCCATGGAAAATATTTATGTTTTCAATGAATAAAGAAAAAAAAACCTTACATAATTTAACAGGCCTTCCCAAGCACAGAGGGCTGTGTCGGAAGCCTCTCAGACACAGCAGACTCTCTGCCCTTCCGAAGTGCAAGCATAAAAGGAACTTGGCTCCCAACCCCTTTCAAAACCATAGAAACAAAAGCAAGACAGGCTGTGAGGCAATGTCTGATTTCATGTGAGTCCTAGGTCAAAATCCCACTTGGTCACTTTATTAACTGAGATACTCTGGGCTTTGGTTCCTCATCTGTAAGTGGGGATAAAACTACCCCACTCACAGGGTTACTGTGGGATAGTGCATGTGACACAGATGGCACAAAACTTTGCTCACAGTAAGTGTTCAATGACAGAAATTATTCTTCAGAGCAGTACTAGAAAAAAGAATCCTGTCTCCAGGACTGTGTTTATTATAGGAGGAAAGTCATCTTAGAAATACCAAGATAAGAATCAAAAGTCACTGCTCTGAAGAAAAGAATAAAAGGAATTTCCCTCCATAACCAGGCAGTTTTGGAAGAGACGCTTCTTACACAGGCGTACATACCATGTACGCAGCCTCCAGCATCTCATTGTTATCAACTCCTCTGAGCACCAGTAGACACTTACCCTAAGTATCCCACATCAGCATGGTTGGAAGGACCTGGGCCCAAACACCTTCCAGTTAGGATGAGAAACCCAAGGACCAGAGGAACCGGTGATCTACTTGAGAGCACACAGTCAGTAGTCCTGTTCCATAAGCAGGACAAACCACTAACAAAATTGCTAATGGGGTATAACTTTGTATGACAACCATTTTCCAGTGATTAAAAACAGAATGAATAAAGCTAAAAATGGGTACTCAGGACATTGATCCAAGAAGCTGACTTTCATGTACTTCTGAAAGTGATTGTGATCGATGTAAAGATATGCTCAAAAAGAGTTATGTGTTTATCTGTGTTAACTTGTCTTTATGACTGTGCCTACACGTTACCATTTATATAGTTCCTATGGAATGAAGCCTCAAATATAGTGGCAATTTGTATTTTAGTAAAAACAAGGATTTCTAGAACATGCCCAATCCCTGCTCTAGCAATGATTACATATGTGAAGTTGGGTTTCCATTTCCTCATTCGTAAAAGGGAACATCAGCCACCTTCACCGCACTACTGCAAAAATAAAATCAGATAACTATGTCTGGCACATAGCAGGCACTACTTCCTGCAAACCCAGGTGTCCCCTTGTCTTGTATACATATGGGATCTAATCATTCCACAATTCATTGACCCTGCTCTCTGAATTCCCTCTAAGCATCTTAGAAAAATGAAAAAATAAAACACTTTTCATGATATTTACATCTGTAAATACTTTTTAATTTCCTCAGTCAGAACCAAGAGTTAAGAAGAATCTTATTAAAAAGAATGATAAAAACAAAAAGAATTATAAAGGTGTTTCTTTTTCAAGTTTTCCAAATACCTTCTTCATCCTCATTTCCCTTGGGGACTGGTTCACACCATGTCTACACTGATCTGGAGAACTCTGAATCCAGCCCTATTCACTTCATTCCTGATTCTTCCACATTCCTATCCCAGGCATTTGCTTGTGGTAAACACTCAATAAATGGTTCTAAGATGAACCAAACAGAATGAGGTGAAGACTTTCAGCAGACATAGTGAGCATCTATTATACTGTAGGCACTGTGTAAGAGACTTTTCCTTCTCATATTTAATGATCACAACCTAGAAAAGTAATCATCATTGTCCCCAGCTTACAGATGACAAAACTCAGAGCATGCAGTGATTTGCCTCAAATCCCAATGTCAGGAAGGGTAGGACAGGATGGAACCCAGGTTTCAGAGTGTGTTATAACTGGGAGCCCCTCACTGCTAAAGCACCTTTGTTACTGCTTTCTTTTCCAATCCACCCTCTAAGTTTCAGCAAGTCACTCGATAACTCCCAGAGAGGGGCCACAACCTTTTCTCTACATCTACTGGTGAACAAAGACAACATCATGTTTCCAACACACTAGTCAGACCAAGGGGGAAGAAATCCCCATGACTTCAGTAATTTTCCATCCTTTGGAACAAAGACACATATCCAGAAGATTCCCCATAACATATAAATATTGCTTTTAAATTATACCAATCTCTCTTTTAATATGCCTTAAACCCTAAAATCTATGGTTTAATAGCTTCCTTCCTTATATCTTGAATAGACACACAAATGTAAATAGATATCCAAATGTACATACAACAACAGCTACCTAGTTAGATCAGGCTCTCACATCAATACCCATTTTCTTTAAACCTGCACCCAATTTGACTGTAATCCTAGGCGCGCTGACCTGAAATAGTTGCTGGCTGCAGCAAGCACCACGCGGTGGCAGGAGAATTCCTGAATGTCCACACACAAGATGACATCTGTCAGAGCATTTTCCACACGGAGGGTGTCCAGGCCATTCTGCAGAATTAAGGAGAGTCCCGTGTCATCGAATTTTACCTTATCCCCATTTAAGATTTCTACCAGGTCTCCCCTTTTCTGGGAGGGCTCATTTGTAGAAGGTGCCAAGGGCTCTTCCAAACTCTTCTCTACCACGTCGCCCATGGTCCAGGAGTCCCTTTGTCCTGCCATCTACATCCAGACTGAAGGAGCGCCCAAGCTTCAGGCAGGTCACATTGCAGAAGCTGGGCGGATTTCCTGTGCAGAGCCCTCCACTTATCACCAGCTGTCACACACACACAACAGGAAGTCTCGTACTTTCTCATCCTGTTACTACAAACGCCAGTAACTTCTATTCTTCTTCTTTCTGTGAGTCAACAAAAGGTTAGAAATTACTTAGAAGGGGTGTGTAGAAAGGGGCTCCACGAGAGAAGGGGTAGCTTCTCAGAGTCTGCTATTAGTGCTGTGGGGTTATTTTGGTCCATCTCCCCCTCATATCCGTGAGCAGGAAGCCTCTGATTCTGGTTATTACATTTGTACCTCTGGCATTTTTATAACCCAAGTCCTCAATGATAGGATGGGCAGGGAACATTATGCAATCTTCCCCCTCCCTCTTGTCAGGAGTCTGAGACCCCACGATAAGCCCCCACCCAGTCCCTTGGGAACTCTGGAAAACCCACTTATTGGTGGCATTCTCATTTATATCAGCACCGCACATCTTCTGCCCTTGTCTTCCTCCCTGCTCAGGGGAAAACAATGTCATAGCAAATATTAATGTTCTCCCCCCGCCCCAAGAAAGTCTATTGTTTCAGATATGTCTCTGGGGACAGAGAAAAAATGGTCTCCAGAAACTCCATCCCAGGGTCTTCTCTCTTAGTAGACTAATCAGGGTAGGTCAACACCAGATTACCCTAGCGAGTCTCCAACTGGTCTGATCTCACTCAGCATCTATTGGTCATGCATCTGATGGTACACCACAAAGTGTCTTCAGTACCTCTGCAGGTCTCTGTTAAATAATAATAACTACCTTTTCATAAACTCCCACTATATTACAGATTAAAGAAGTTAATTTATTTTAATCCTTGTAAGAACCCAAGGGGCAAATATGATTTTCCTCATTTTACAGAGAAGGAAACTGAAGCTCTGCTCAAGTGAGTGGGAGAACCCAGGTCTGTTTGGTTCCAAAGCCCATTTCTTCCACCATCATCAGGCTAAGAGAGCTGTAATATCATGTTGGTCCTGACTCCTGCATCTCCCATAGAGAACCACAGGCCTTTTCTGCCATGGCTGCTCCAGTCCACAGCATCTCCCCAAAGGGGCCTTTGAGGTCTTGTTCCTGCTCTCATGAACCATCTAGCAGTGGGAAACACTGGCTGCTCTGATCAAAAAGGAGTCCCAATCCTTTCTCTGCCCTGGTCAGTAACCGAGCCCTCTTCAGGGGTCCTGGTTCTGCCTCAGCTCTTCTTCTCTTCCAAGGATACTTATTCCTAATGTCAGCGTCTTTGTTAACTCCCCTCTACCAGACTTGTGCTATATCCATAGCTCTGTCAATCAAGACGGTTTGGTCTCAATAACAGAAAAGCCCATCAAAAGTGGTTTAAACAACAGAAGTCTCACGTTATAAGAAACCAGAGATATGGAGTCCCAGGTTAATCCAGAAACTCAGTAATGTCATCAAGGACACAGAATTTTTCCATTTTCCCATTCTGTCATATTCTCAATGTGATAGAGATGCCACCTCATGATGACATAATAGCTGCCACAATACCAAACAATCCAAAAGCAGGACAGGTCTCTTCCTTCATCTCTATCAGACTTCTCCTAAGTCACTTGACCACTCAGCCCAAGCTCCAGAAAATACAAATAGAATAACGTGATTGCCTTGCACCAAACATGATTCATCTACTGCCTCAAGTCCACTTTCCCCGAGATCAAGGGTCTAATAGCGAAACAAAATCAGGGCCTCTTAGCACAGAGGAGGGGCAAGGGCTGGTGTGCAGTTAGCCTCCTGTGCCCACCACCAGGACATGCACAACCCTGACTCTTCCTGCAGGCCTCAACTAGGAGGAGCTCAGCACTTCCACCTCCATGACTCCAACTACCACCTCTGTTGCAACTAAGGACAACACATAATCCAATCTTTCTCATGGCATCTTGTCACCCAGAACCTCTCAAAGTTTAAACAACACTGATCATTCCAATCTACCCTCCAATAAAACAAAATAAGAATAAAACTCAATTTTCCATTCATGATGGATCCTGTTTACCAAGTTCCCTTATTATTTTTCATATACCTTCCAAGGCCACCCACCCCATTCCCTTGACATAAGCAGGCTAACTGTTACCTTGCCCCCACCCTTACATTTTCCTAGTAGGGATGCACACACAGACTTGTGGCATAGGTGTGATAATGCTTACAATTGGATTTAGTGCAAAGGTAAAAAACACAACCAGTTTGGCATCCATGTCAACCTGGATATGCTCTGAGATTTTTGTATGAACTGATGAATATTCTTTATAGCTACAAGCAAAATAACCCTGTTCTGTGGAAGTTTTATTTTCCCTACCAAGCAACAAAATGTACAAGCCACTGGCAAAAGCTTTAATACTGAGAAAACTATCTTAATTATATTTTACTAAGCCAGTTGACTTTATAGTGCTTGAAAGGAATAGATTCTATTATTAGGCAAATGAGTGGCTTTACTCAAGGGAAATCTTTCTTCCTAAAACCAACAGGTTGCCCCTTCTAACCCTGTCAACTGTCTTCTCTGACACAACTTATAGTGTCAGAAGTAAGTCTTAAGTCTCCTACAAAAGAAGATCCACTGTTCTGTCATGTTAACTTATTACTACTAAAGCTACCATTTACTGAGTATCAACTACATTTCAAGAACCGTGAGAGACTCCTTGTGAAGCCTGATGCACTTCATCTTCCCACCAACCCAGGGCAGTTAGGTATTATGATCTCCATTTTAGAGACATGAAGACAGAGAAGATCACATAGTAGATATCATGTCCATGTCCCCTCGTCTGTCCTGGAGGTCACCCACAGATAGTTCCTATAAGCACACTAAAAGCATCACTGTGCCTGAGAGCATTCTCCAGCTACAAGAGCATGTGGGCTCATTAGAAGGGACCTGCAACTGAGAGCCAGGAGTTGAGAGATAAAAATGCTATCTTTCTGTCTCTCTGTGGGACAATGCTGAAGTGTGTGGTCCCCATCGAAGACTCTCAGAGGACTGAGCTCTAGTTGTCCACAGTAGTGGACACATTCATCATTCATCCTCTAAGGGAGGGAAGCCTCTGATACCATTTGTTTATATCTCAGGTACCATTTGTTTATATCTCAGGGTAGAAAAGGAAAAGTAAGGATTGCCCCCCTCCCCAGAAGATTTGTTTACATTCCAGAATAAAGATTTCTCTCTCAGGAGAAGGCCATGTGCCACCTGCCCTATATAAGCTCTGAGTCTCATAATTTCAGCATTCAACTTTTATGGTGCAACCCCATTGCACATTCAGGGTAACATCAGGCTTTCATCACATTATCTATAGATATAGGGACATAGGTAATTGGTAAGAAGATGGTCTGTGTGTAATAAATTATCTTTTCTCAGGTTCAGAGATTTTGTATTTCCTGTCAGAAATAACATGCAATTCATTCTATTTATTTATTTATTTAAGAGCGGAGGAGGGGAGGGGGAGAGGGAGAGGGAGAGAAGGAAATTTAAACAGGTTTCACACTCAGCCTGGAGCCTGACACAGAGCTCCATCCCACAACCCTAAGATCATAACCTGAGTTGAAATTTGGAAACTTAGGGGAGCCTGGGTGTCTCAATTAGTTGAACCTCTGACTATTGGTTTCAGATCAGGTCATGATCTCTCAAGTCCCACGTGGGGCTTTGCATTCAGTGTAGAGTCTGCTTCAAATTCTCTCTCTCTGTCAAATAAATAAATATTAAAAAAAAAAAAAACAGAAGTTGGAAGCTTAACCAACTGAGCCAGGTGCCCCAATGTGCAGTTCATTTTAACTTGATTTATCCAGAACAAGCGGCAAAAAAAAAAAAGTGCGGAAGGGTAGAACCAGCAGAATGAACAAAGTAGAACTTGCTTTACCGTCTAAATGCAACTGAAGGAAATCTGCACTTCATACTTTCCCGCTGCCTGCAAAACTTATCCTTCAAGATAAGTGTCCTTCCCACCTTCATAAAGCTTCCCCAACATGCCTACACCTACTGCAAACCTTGCATGTGTACATACTGCACTGCTCACGCTTCTGTGGATGCATTAAAGCACTATACTGTCATTATCTGGCTGCTCGTCTGTCTTCCCCAGTAAGCTATGAGTTTACAAGTCAAGTCATATACCCCAGAAGCCCAATTACGTATGATTCAGTCAAGAAATATGGGGTAGATAGACAGATGTCATGGTTGGATTAAAGAATAATCAAAAACTGGAAGAAGAGCTCTGCCTTGGTAGCTAGTGGCTCTCTTAGCAGGAGTGCCTGCATGGCTGAGCTAATGTGTGAGTTGACCTGGAAGAACAAGAAGAATTTATGAGAGGAAAGGGAGAGGGTAAAGGCTTTCCAGGGAAAAGGAATGAACACACCAAAGGGGTAAGGAACAAGGAGTATTTGGAGAACTATAAACCATTAGGTACAACTGGAAGACAAGGTGTGTGAATGGGATAGGGTTGGAAAATGGTGTACAACAGTAAGACACCAGGTCAGAGGGAGCTGCCCCTGCCCCCTAATCCCCTGCCAGTCGGGGTTCCTGAGCCACTGCAATGCAACCCCCACACCCCTGTGAACATGGTGGTATGAGCCTGAAGCCTGGGTACCACCTCCGCGCCCACCAATCCTGGGGGCTCAAGGTAGGTGCCAGCCGGAGGCTGCTTGGGCTCCACTCTGCATTAGCTCCCAGACAAACATGAATGAATAGCAATGGAAAATGGTATTGGAACAGTGGGAACCAGCAATTTTGTACAGGAAGCTTCGGGGGATGTTATTTACTGTAGTCTGCCTAAAGTCGGGGCAAAACTGGACAAACAAGGTTAAGTTCAGTGTTTTGGAAAGTGTGAAAGCTGCTAGTGAATGCTATTTTCCTCTATCAGGAGAAGTAACTGAAATTAATGAAGTTCTTGAAGAAAACCCAAAGTTTATCAACAAATACTGTTATGAAGAATGTTGGCTGATCAAGATACACGCAGTAATCCTTCAGAACTGGATG